ACTAGCACCTTCCGTACAAGCGTAAAAGATCGCTTCTTTGCTTCATGCCGCCGGTTACAATCCTGTTCCATTCTGCGGTTTCTTTCACCAACAGAAGACTCCGGGCGCGGTCGGATGGCGTCGAAGGGCATGCGGAGCTTCCGGTTCATCATGGCCTGTGCTGGAGAGACTCCGTCTGGCGCTTGTGGATTCGGTGTTGATCGGTAGAGGAAAAGGAACCGGCCAACCACCTCCTCTAAACGTCCCTCCCCTTTTGATTTGTGGTGAGCTCGCTTGAATGTATCAACAAACCTTTCTGCCTGGCCATTCGACTGTGGGTGGAACGGCGGCGAGCGAACTTGCTGTACGGAGCACTGCTTGCAAAACTCCGTAAACGTTGCTGAAATAAATTGTGAGCCATTGCCAGTGATAATTGTCGCAGGACAGCGGAATCTGCTAAAGGTTTGGCGCAGTTTCGTTATGGTGGCATTTGTGGTTGTGTTCTCCATAAGAACTACTTCAGGCCACTTGCTGTATGAATCGACTATAATGAGGAAGCTTCGCCCGTTGATCGGTCCCGCAAAGTCGACATGGATACAACACCATGGCTTAGTAACTTTTGGCCATGAACAGAGTACTGATTTTTGTGGCGCTTTCAAGACATTGGCACACTTTTGGCAGCGTTTGGCTATTTCTTCTAGTTGTTTGTCCATGAAGCGCCAGGATACATAACTGCGGGCAAGCGCTTTCATCCGGTTGATTCCAGGATGCCCGAAGTGAAACTGCCGAATAAGACGCTTCTGAAGTGTCTTGGGGATGACCACTCTTTCCGAAAATAGTATGCAGTCGTTTACAATAGAGAGCGAATGTCTCCTCTGGAAGTACCGTTGCAACTCGGCAGACGAACATGAACGTGGCCAACTTGTTTTGTGAAATCGCGTAACCTTCTTGAGTATTGGGTCACGAAGTGATTCGGTTCGTACAGCTTCTGCGGTAACTGGTAGACCGTGCAAAGCATCAATTACCAGCAAGTTGACGTCAGGTTAAACCTCGACCGAGGCAATGCTTGTGTCCTCATGTTCTTGCTGGCGGGCATCAATTAGGCGTGACAATGCATCCGCTTGGCCAGTGGAAACTGTCGACTGGTATTGGATCTCGAGATCATACCCCATCAAGGTAAGAGCCCAACGTTGTACCCGGTTGGCTGTGTAGGCCGGAATGCCCTTTTCTGAACCAAAGATAGCCAGCAAGGGCTTGTGATCTGACAGAAGCTTGAAGCGGCGGCCGTATAGCATTTTGTGGAATTTCTTGACCACGTACACTATGGACAATGCTTCTTTTTCAATCTGGCTGTAATTCTTCTCGCCCTTCGTAAGTGTTCTGGCGGCATGGGCGATTGCCTTCTGAGATCCGTCGGCGTAGGTGTGTGATATTACTGCACCAATTCCATGGCTTGATGCATCTGTGGCTAAGACAATCTCTTTGGAGGGATCAAAATGAGTCAAAAGCAAATTTGAGGACAGCAGTGACTTGACCCGTTCGAAGGAATTCTGGCATTCTGATGTCCAGTCCCATGTTTGGCCTTTGGCTAGTAGCGTGTTTAACGGGGCAGGCAGGCGGTGCATCGCAGGCAAGCATGCGCTGTAGCGGCTGATGAGCCCACGAAGGAACGCAAGGACTGTAGATCTGTTGGAGGAGGCATCCTTCTAATGGCTTCTATATTTTCTGGATCTGGTCGACGTCCGTCCTTTTCGAGGATAAAACCGATGTATTTGATAATCGGCGTGAAAAATGTGCATTTATCTTCACAGATCCGGGAACCGTGTGACTGCATACAACTAAGCACTTCATCCAGGCGGTTGAATAGTTCTTCTGGTGTTCGACCCATCACTATAACATCATCCAGATAAGTAGCGGTTCCAAAAACGCCCGCTAGCATGGTATCCATCAACTGTTGGAATGTCACCTGAATTCGTTGGAATGTCACCTGAATAGATTTAATCTGCTCAGCAGTGCACAACATGGATTCCGGAAGGGGTTTTCGTGTTTGACGAATTTGTTGGTTGCCCGTGAAGCTTGGGCCGATGCAGTGGACAATGGCCACGTAGTGGATGTGCTTTTCGTCGACTTCTCGAAAGCATTTGATAAGGTACCCCACTTGAGGCTATCACATAAGCTGAGGTCCTACGGCGTATCTGGCAGCGCCCTTCACTGGGTATCTGCGTTTTTGCAGGGAAGAGAGCAGTGTGTACGTGTGGGTCGCAGCTTATCCTTTAAGCAAGCGGTCCTTAGCGGTGTCCCACAGGGCTCGGTCCTTGGACCGATGCTGTTCTCTATCTACGTAAACGATCTCCCTGGAGAGCTTGGGGTATCATCCTTATTGTTTGCTGATGACCTTAAGCTATGGAATGTTGTAAATGTTCCTGGGGGTTCTGAGGCCATACAGCGTGCACTGGACAGACTCTGGGACTGGTCTACTTTGTGGCTACTGCCCATAAATCAGGCTAAGTGTTCCGTCCTTCGTATAGGAGCAACTTTCCCGCCTTCGAGCTACGTACTCGGTGGGGTCGAACTCCCCCTTGTCTCCAACCAGACAGATCTAGGTGTCGTTCATTCCTCGTCTTTGCATTCTGGTGACAACTGGAAGAAGGCCGCTAGTGGGGGTTTCAGAATGTTATGGTTAATACGCCGTTCTTTCGGGGTCTTAACTGCCGACATATTTGTGAAGCTATTCTCAGCTTTCGTTCGGCCCCATCTGGAATACTGCGTCCAGGCTTGCGCGCCCTGCCTTGTTCGGGACAAAATGGAGCTTGAGAGGGTTTTGAGAGTAGGTACCAAATTGGTCGAGGGGTTACGGGGGCAATCGTACCCCGAGCGTCTACTTAGCTTGGGTATGTATTCAATGCACTACCGACGGCTTCGAGGAGACCTAATCCTTACTTACCGCATTTTAACAGGGAAGGTTGGGCCGGACTTGCGCTGGCTGTTTAGCCCGGCTAGGTTGCCTTGTCTTCGCGGTCATCCCATGAAGCTACACAAGCCGCGTTCTGACGGGATCAGGGCGGAAACCCGGTTATCGCGTAGAGTTATCGAGCGCTGGAACTCGCTTCCAGAAAATGTAGTCAGTGAACCTACGGTTAAGGGTTTCGAGCGTCAGTTAGACGCTCTTGGGTGGCAACACGAAACCTTTCCCTTCTCCTGACCATATCCATCTTCAAACTTTCAGTTCTTATTCTGTCATTATCTTCACTCTCTGGTGTTATCCTTCATTTTAATGACTTTCATTCCCCTTTATCTTTTCATTTACTTTCTACTTCTTTCTTACTTCACGTAACCTATACAGCGCGGACTGCTAGTGCAGGGAACGTGGGCAGTAGTTGGTTGATCAGGGTGTGTTTCGGGTGTTTCGTTTTAGATCTATCAAGAACTAACACCTTATCATTTCCTGGCTCAACGATTTGCTCAAGAAGGAACACTCAAGGGATTTTCCTATCGTTCCAGTCCATCTGAATCTGAATGGCTGGCGCCGTTTTCACACCAAATGGCAAGTGGTTGTATTGGAATAGCCAACGATGAGCGTTGATCGTCAACAACTCACTCGAGACTTCGTCAACATCCACTTGAAGATAAGCATCGGATAGACCAAGCTTAGCAAAGTACTTACCACCATTCAGCTTTGCAAAGATATCTTCCGGTGCAGGTAATGGCTACTGGTGGTCGTCCAGCGCGGCGTTGAGGCCAGTTGAGAAGTCAGCACAGACGCGTACCTTGTCATTTGCGATGCGACAACAGGTGCGGCCCATGATGACTAGTTGACGGCTGCAATGACTCCGGCACGTTCCGGTCGATCGATTCCTTTCTCAGCGGTTGACATGGCTGCATATGCTACCGGTCTTTTAGCCTTGGACACTGGTTTAGCACCTGGTCGCAAGCTCAGCGTCGCCTTGCATTTCGTACAATGACCCAAGCCATCCTGCAAGATAGAGGCAAATTCTCGTTTCAGGGTACGTGTCATATCTTCGACGGCTAGCTAGCCGAACAACGTTCTCTTGATGACAGCTGGGTTGTTCGGGTAAATGCCGTTACAGCAAGTGGTTTGTCTGCAGTGTTCCACTATGTGGTGGGATTTCGCCTGGCATGCGTTCTCCCTGTAAAAATCCACAAGTATCCGTTTAACAACACTGTGACATGGCAGTTGTGACTCGCCACTAAATTAAGTCACTGCCTCTTCCCTTTTCCGGAGGAGCATGCACACAGCACAGACGTCATCTGATTCAAAGCGTTCTATTGATTCCGCCTTTGATGGCGAGCACAACGAACGAAAGCACACACAGTCACATTTACCTACTCACACAACATATCCCCTTCTAAATACACAGTTAAACATATTTTTACATCTCCACACACACAAATTCCCATGCTTTTGATCAAAATGTGCTAATCTGTGCAATTGCTGATCATACAAGTCTGTAATACCATGATCATGCCGTTGATGGTGTGCCTCGCAGTGACGAGAATAAACCATTTATTTATTTATTTATGATGTGTCTACCCAGCTAGCACATGAAGTACTTTTTTCGGTCGTCAAAGTCCTTCAAAAGTCCTTCAAAATCCTTCAGTAATTTATTGGTGGACACTTGATCTACTCCGCAGTTCAGCAAGGGATGCGCATATGTGTGTATGTTACGTTAACTGATAAATAATGATAATATTCTTTACCCGCTTTATTCCGTCGAAGACTCGTACGTGATTTCTTAGAAAGCATCATCTTCCTTCCTTTTGAATTTTGCCGCGCTTTTGAATTTACAGGTACCGCTGGCATTGCTCTGTTTGGTTACCAATCCTGCTCCCACGTAGTGCGCTTCTTTTTTCCTTGTGCATTTTCGATAGTTGATAAACAAGTTTGAGTTGGAAAGAAGCCGTTTCGACGTCTGTTAGATATAAGAAGCACCGTAAGTGTTTTGGTTATAATATTGCAATCATAATTTGTTTACCTTGGCTAGCTAGGGGTGTCATCATTAATGTTTGCTGACGACCTTAAGCTCTGGAATATTGTGGATATCCCGGGGGGTCCTGAGGCAATTCAGCGTGCGTTGGATACGCTCTGGGAATGGTCTATCTTATGGTTGATGCCCATAAATAGGGCGAAGTGCTCTGTTCTCCGAATCGGAGCTGCAAATCCTCCCACCCGATATGTCGTCGGCGGTGGTGAACTCCCTGTTGTCACTCAGCAGGTTGATTTAGGAGTCGTACACGCATCAGCACTTCATTCTGGAGACAACTGGAAGAAGGCTGCTTGTCGAGGGTTTCGTATGATGTGGTTTATCCGCCGCTCTTTCGGAATCTTAACGGCCAAGTTGTTTGTGAAGCTATTTTCGGCATTCGTCCGACCCCACCTGGAATATTGTATTTAGGCTTGTCCACCATGTCTTAACCGAGACAAAATGGACTTGGAGAGGGTGTTACGAGTGGGCACTCGGTTAGTGCAGGGTCTACGGGGACAGACGTATCCTGAACGCTTGCTCAGTTTGGGTATGTACTCCATGCACTACCGAAGGATAAGAGGGGACCTGATTCTCACTTATCGTATTTTGACGGGTAAGATTGGCCCGGACTTGTCAGGGCTTTTTAGTCCCGCTACGTTACCTAGTCTCCGCGGTCACCCACTGAAACTGCATAAACCACGGTCTGATAGGATTAGGACGGAAACTCGTCTATCGCGCCGAGTTATAGATCGCTGGAATTCGCTTCCAGATCATGTGGTTAGGGAACCTACGGTTAAGGGTTTTGCGCGCCAGCTCGATGCTCTTGGGTGGCAACAGCAAACCTTTCCTTTTTCCTAGCTGACTCACCTTCACTTTTCAGTTCTTTTTTATTGACTCAAATATCTTGGTATTCCACTTGCTTAGCTCTTACCACTTTCTCTTTTGCCTCCTGCGTTTACTTTTTTCTCTTTCTTACTTCACGTAACCGACCCAGCAGGGACTGCTAGGGCAGGATACGTGGGCATTAATTGGTTGGACAGGGTGTGATGCGGTCTTTGTTTTAGGTCCATCAGTATTTCAAAGTTCGCTAACTCCTGGTTCAACGACCCGCCGAAGAAGGAACACTCACGGGATCTATCCTATCGTTCCAGTCCCGCTTGAACTTGAACTTGGCATTATTTCACAAGCATTGCGGTTGCTTTGCCCTATAGGGCACCTATAGGTGCTATCGCCGTAACGCAGAGTTTGCGCACTGTTATCTTCACTTGCGCAATTACTCCTGCTCTACATAGGTAGCTTCACTGTGAGGTTCCGTTCTCTTTTGCAGGGCGCATTCCGTTAGTAATACCGGTGGGGACATTGCTGGACGTTTCCGTGTTTTCACTCATCCGGGTCCTTTTAAATGTACGTGGGCACGTTAAACGTAACGTTTTATGTTCAGCATTGTTAATGAGACCTCGGTGTACAAACCGACAATGGGCTTTTATGCTGCCCAGTGACCGCACTTTGCGGGATCGATATTTGCGCGCGAAAAGGCGTATCGGACAAATTGATCAAAGGGTTTGTCCTGTGGAGCGTACACAAAATGAGATCTCAAATCGTACAATATGTGAACCGTTGCCATACACCGGTAAGTTCTAATCTCCCCATGTTATTGCTCGTTACCTCATATAAGAAGCAACAGGGCGTTTGTGCACTAATGACATGCAGTTACAGAATGCGGTAGCGCAGCGGAGTACAATGGCAGTGCCAACCATTGCTAGTGGTGTATTGGTTTCATCATCAGAATTGGAAGCGGAGCAAGCACTTAGCTGCAGGGACGCGGATCGCATTGGCACCACTGATGTCATGGAAGACTTAAGACAATGGGTGCGAAGCACACGACCCAGCATTTCTTCCGTGAACAAGTTGCTTGCGGCCCTTCGCAGGAGCATGCCTTGGATACCGAAAGATTACCGAACGCTTATGAGAACTCCAAGGAATGCGCAGACCATTAGCATTGGTGCCGGTGCATATGGACACATTGGGCTGCTGCGTGGTCTACGCAGTATCTACCAGGATGGTGACATACAGCCGCCGGAAAGGGTTGTTGTCCAGCTGCACATAGATGCTTTCACCCCGTTCAACTCCTCGAAAATGCAGATCTGGCCGATTCAGTGTCGATCTATTTACCCCGTGAAGTCAAAACCATTTGTTGTCGGTGTTTACGGTGGTCCTGAGAAACCCGATGTGATTGAATTTCTAACTCCCCTGATACGTGATTTGCAGGTGCTGCTGTCAACGGGTTTCACGCTTGCTGCATGCTCCAGGCCCACATCTGTTGAATTAGGGGCTGTTATATGCGATGCGCCTGCTCGAGCATATGTGAAGAGGACCAAGGGGCACTCAGGGTACAGCAGTTGCGGCAAATGCATTCAGAAAGGTACTTATGTCAACCGGAAGGTTACATTCCCATCTACTACATGCCGCCTTAGGTCGCATAAATCGGTTATGAAAAGGAAGCGATCTTTGATGTCCCCTTTTGAATACCTCGGTATTGATATGGTTTCGAAATTTCCCATTGACTACATGCATTGCGTGTGCTTAGGAGTGGTGCGACGCATAATCGGTTTATGGATAGAGGCACCGACATGGAAGAAAGTAAAATTGCCTAATGATACATTGCGTGCAATAGATCACTTATTACTACAAAATACGACTGCATGGCCATGTGATTTTCCTAGGCGTTGCAGAGGTATATCTATGTTTAAAGGTTGGAAAGCCGTTGAATTTAGGCAGTTTGTTTTATACGCCGCGCCTGCAGTGTTGATAAACGTGCTACCGGGAGATTATTACGACAACTTTTTACACCTTCATCTGGGAATATACATATTCTGTCACCCGCTGTTGCATAGGCATTACTGGTCTTTCGCGAAACGGTTGCTGCTTAATTTCATACACGGGTACTACCGCCTGTACGGGAAAGACCAGATGACGTACAATGTTCACTGCCTAAGTCACCTAGCATTGGATGTGGAAGTGCATGGAACCCTTGATGATTTCTCCGCATTTCCATTCGAGTCTTACATAGGCGTCCTGAAGCGAGTAGTGCGGAACGCACGAAATCCCGCGGCGCAGATTGTGAGACGGTGCTTGGAATATGCGGACGTCTCCAATTTCTCGCCTTGGCCTGAATCTCAGCTTACTCGCATACAACATCGTGCATTAACACGTCGTGAACTGTTGATACTGGATGGTACAACGTACGCATGCAGCGCACCTGACAACGTTATCATTGTATCTGATTACCCGTATTGCATTGTCCGGTTTGACCATATGGGCTCAGAATGTGAGACCATTGTTTGTAAACCTTTCACAGGCGTGCATGCGTTGTACCATCTCCAGATACCTTCTTCCGTTTGCAACATATTTGCAGCCTCAGGCATCAGCGATGATCTCAAATCATTCCGTGTGGGTGATATACTTTGCAAATGTGTATGCTTCTCTGTTGATGACTTCTTAGCTATTGTTCCCCTGTTGCACACCTTTAGAACTCCGGATGGTAATACGTGAAACATTGTGCATGTTCAGGGTCCCTAAATGTTCCTTTTCACTTTGATCTACTTGTGTTTTATTTTATTCATTTCCTGACTAGTTATTTTAATGGCTATGCTTATTTTTTATTTCCTTGGACTGATTTTTTAATTTTTATTTACCTGTTGACTGGGGATTCTTTCTCAACGGGTTGCACTTATCCTGTTATACGAGGTCCCTTAATACCTCTTCATGGAGTATGGTCGCGGGGCGTCCATCAGACACATGTATTCACTTCACCTAATGAGGGACAGTACATCCTCATACGGTGGTTCCATATCAATACTGTTTTGGGCTAGCGTGGATGATGCGGTACGAAGCAACATTGGAACGGGGGTACAAGATCGTAACTGTATTCGGCCGATAGGCATATGAAGGGCTGTTAACAGGGTGAATACGTCTATGTGCAGCAGAATGGCCAACCACAGGGCGGTGAATGCACTGTTACTGGCAAAGATCTGCGTTGACAAGCACTCGACAAACGATGTAAAACAATATGAACAACATGGAATGGCGTTTACCAGCACCGACGCAGGTAACATGCTCATTATCTTACACACGTTGACAGGTTTTCAATGGCGATGCATTCAAGGGCACACCTTTTCAGGAGACCGCACAGGTGTTTCGGAGTGGGGGTTCATGTACAGACAATATTTATTAATTAAAAGTTTCGTTGCTATTACATTGTTCTCGTAATCAGTGTTTGTGCAAACGGACTTGCATAAGTCATCTATTTCAGCGTTATGGCTTCGTTAACATATTGCGTCGTTTCCCTGAGCACGTCCACTGGATGCTCGGTTACAACCATAAGCAGCTCTTGGCTGCTTGCGGACGGTCGGCAGGCGTTGCTACCAAACGTACCCCCTTCGGAATACCTTAACGCTGTGAGGGAACACCGGCCGGCGGAGGATAACTGTAAGTTGGCCCGTGTGACTATACTTCGGCGAACCAGTAAGTTCTGTGCTGTCATAAGTCTTCAGTGGATTTCGATCAGGCTGCTGCAATAGCAAACTCCGTCGACCTTTCGAACCTGCCGGAAGACACGGATTCAACAGTCGACATGGGCACACCCCCACGTAGACTCATGTGAGTTGCCACATCTATATAACATTTCATCACAGCCGTATGCCACGTCGTTTGATTTCGGACGACGATGACTTTGAGCCACCCAGGAAACGCATGGTTCCCACAGCCGTTCCATATGGCTCGCCACCTATCTGTTCTTTAACTGAGTTGGCCCGCTCGATGGGTAAAAACTCACGTCAGTGGTCTTCCCAGCAATACAACATGGCTGGATACAAACCAGCTTATACAGGTAAGAGGTACATTTTGCTTAATGTTAAACTACAGCGTTCAATACCGCATCTAACTGCGGTGAAAAGTCGAACCCACAGATTCCGTCAAGGGCATCGGGTTGGTGCTTACACTTTGTAGCTTGATTGTCCTAGTACTAGAGTCCACCTCCGATTCCTCCTTCATCACCGTTCCTACAAGCAATTGGAATGCTATTCACCGTAAGCATGTACGTGAGGTTTTACCATTTTTTTGCAGGCGATATAGACCAAATGAAGAATGAACTGCAGTCCATAAATGGTAACTTCCTAGCTTTTTAAAAACAGGGTTTACGTTTGCAGGTAATGTTCAGAAAATTATGGAGACACTGGAGTATATGAAGAGCTCCATGAGATCGATGGCTGCAACGATTGCCGGGCAACCAGGGCAGCAGGCAACGCAGCTTCCTTTGCCAATTACATCGGTGGAGGAACTGCAGTCCTTCGATATACTAATGCAGGATGCAGGACGCAGGCAACAATTGGTAGGATGCTTTGATACCTCACATATGCATGCAGCATACTTATCTGGAAGGTGTGCATGGAGAAACGTTGTCGGAGACCGTACGCCTCATGATGCAGCGCCTTCTAACGCGGTCATTGATGGCAGAGATCAATTACTCCGGTTCCCGCAACAAACAAGGATTCCGGAAAACGAAGCTATTCACCGAAATGCAAGGTAAGCAACATCTTTGCCCTTCAATCCTTGTCCTAGCTTCTCTATTAAAACGTTTCTCCGGAAGTAACGTGTCACCCGATGACGTTACACAATATGTTAGGAAATACTTGAAATCCATTCGTGGCAATGCATGGCGCGACACTCCCAAAGGTTGTGCAATCAGCCAGCAGGTATGAAATCGTGGATTACTTAATAACATTCCTTACATAAGGTTCCCCAATTGGTGGACTTGGACTGCCCCGGCGACAGCATGGAAGAACGGTAACGGTGTCAAACTGAACACGGACCTCTGTTATCAGTATTGATGTCCTTACAATTAATGTATCCAATACTATACGTCGGTAAACCGACTTCTTACTGTGAAATGATCGGATTCCATTCCCTCTATCTTTGTGCTCAGTGGGACTGAAATACTAAGGCATCACTATGACTAGTGGGACTGCATGCACCATGCATGTGCGCCATGTTAAACATAGTTTCCTCCATTCAGTGACAGCAGGCTGTGCACCATGATACCTCGCTTTCCCCTGCCATTCATTCTGTTACGCCGCAAGCGAAAATATGTCATAGCTATGACTCGCACTTTTACCTTGCATTTGTAAGCGGATATGATACTTGCGTTACATAGTATTATTAACGGGAAGCGCAGGTAGGGATTTGAGATCCTCAGCCAGCGGCGTGGGAGCTTGGGTGGGTAGCCAATACCTGGGGCGTACCGGGGTAGCGGCTAGGTGCGGCGTTCCGGGGTAGCGGCTAGGTGCGGTGTACCGGGGTAGCAGCTAGGTGCGGCGTACTGGGGTAGCGGCTAGGTGCGGCGTACCCGGGTTTCCGCCTAGGTGCGTGCGTATCGTAGTGGTGCGTGCACGGCTATTGGTCCGCGCCGTTCAAGGTCAATCGTCAACGACCATTCATGCTCCGCTGGTGTGTCTGTCGTCCACTGTTAAACCTTGATTTATGATTGGACAACGTGCAAAGTCCTTCACTGTGTACTTAATACAGCTGCAGTGGAAGGACAAATTTCGCCCACAAAATGGTCGCCAAAGTCCTTAACCATGGATTCATGTTTATAGTTGACGGTTAAGGACTTTACCGCACATTTTCGCCTTCAAAGTCCTTTTTGTGCTAGCAGGGTAGACTTGCTCGAAGTTGGTTGCAGATCTGATTCAAGGGAACATCGAGGAGTTGCAACTTTTCAATCCAGTCGAGACAAAGAAGATTCAAATTCGGCCGGTCTGAAATGTAGCACGTTCCTGACTTTTCCACAGCTGTGAAAGAAATCTTGCAAGTAAGTTCACCCACTGAGTTTAACACACCGCCAGATGCATTATGAGCAACTTATTGAGACTTGGCCATGTTTGGCCTCTATGAGATTCCATGTGTTCCTATAAATAATCGTGATGTCCGAGGCCATGTCAAATTGCAGTTTCGCTGGGATCCCATCGATCAACAGCGTGACAAATCGTCATCTCGGTTTACACTTATTTTGGAATGCGGCAACTATGGACAGAGACTCTGCGCCACCCTTCCTAGAATTCCCCTTTCAATAAGACTTCTTCCCGTTTTTCGGCCGGAACTGTCTGCAGAATTTCTCTCTATGCCCAGGCTTATGGCACATTTGACAAAATTGTGTTTGGAAGACCAAATCAAGCGAAATGCCATTCGCCCGACGACCAGCATGCTGTGGGTGGTTTGTTCGTCAGCCTCTTGTAGCGGCTGCTGCGGTTGCCGATGCTGGCCATTTTTACGAGTTGCACGGTAACTGGTGGTGCGCGACCATCGCGTTCGACCATGGCAGTAAAGCGTTTTAGAGTACGCTGCCGTTTGCATTCGCTTACGATGGACTTCAATATCAGATCATGATCCTGCTCCAGCTTAGCTAAAAGCCGGATGGGGATCTCAGCATCACTGGGAGATTGTAGAGCATTGACGAAAATGAGACACTTAAACTGATCGTCCGTTAAAGAGCGTAGTTTGAAAAGTTCACACTCACGGTTAATCATGTATGCCAGGGACCCAAAGTCGTCCGATTCCTGTTTGACAATTTTCAGGCATTGCTAGCAAATACTAAACAAGGATACCGACTCACCAAACATTTCCTTCAGCTGCGACACTACTTCACCAAACGTCGAGTAGTAAACTCGATGTGTTGAGGACTTGTGTGTTCCAGTCGCCGGATCAAACTGTTGAAGCCCTCTCGGCTATTGTGTGCACTTCCTCTGCTCAGTTTACAGTTGTAGTGGTATATCGAAGTCCTGGTAGTATCTCCAGGGAGGTTATTGAATTTATTCGTACTCAGGCTGCCAGTAGGTGTCTAATACTGGGTGACTTCAACCTCCCTGAAGTCTGCTGGGCTGATCTATCTTGCAGTTCGGCGGTGGGCACTTTCGGTTCGGATCTCCTTGAGCTAACATTGCAACTGCCTTTGCATCAGTTCGTGGACCTCCCGACTAGATATATGCGCAACCAAATTCCGTCTACCTTGGATCTCATTTTTGCGAAGTCACACGATTTCGTAAGTGATATTACCTACGACTGTCCTCTAGGAGCCAGTGACCATGTCTGCATATCCTTTCGATGTGCTCTAACTAAGTGTCATCAAGCTGCCGCTAAGGCATGTCCAAATATTTGGCGGGCAGACTTTAACGCAATACGAGCCAAAGCTTCAGTTTTGCGTTGTGCAATCACCGTGGCTGACACCGTTGAGACAGTCTGGGAGAAATTTAAAGCGTACCTCACCGAGATCTCTGCTCCCCACATCCCATTCACTAAGAGAAGGGTGACACGGGCGCAGCCTCCATGGATAGATCATACAGGTAAATACCTGCTCAGGAAGCGCTCTAAGTGCTGGCGAACTTACCAAGCGGCTTCATCAACCAGCACCTACGAAAGCTATCGAGCGGTTAGAAATAAATGTAAGCATCATCTTAGAACTCTTCGTCTTCAGTACGAGGAGGATTTGGCTAACGCAGCCGTAAAAACCCAAAGAAGTTCTTTGCTTACGTAAAGTGACGTAGCGGTACAAACTCGCCTATACCGGCTTTACTACGAGCGGACGGGACCCATGGGCATACCGACTATGATAATGCCTGTATACTTAGCGAACAGTATACTGGTGTCTTTTCTCATGAGACCTCTCTACCTCAAGTTGAGCTGGTCACTAAAGTTCCGGAGGATTCTTGCCTAACTGAAATAAGCATAACGGAGACACAAGTCTTCAGGCTATTGCAACGGCTAAGTCCTTCCAAGGCTTCTGGCCATGATTCAATTCATCAAAACCTGACGCATGAATAGGTCGTTGAGCTGAGCTGCCCTCTGACATGCATGTTTACAGTACTACTCGACAGGTATGCCTTAAGTTCAGAATGGAGGAAGGCAATCATCTGTCCGATTTTTAAGGGCGGGGACAGAGTTCTGCCTGCGAACTACCGGCCTGTCAGCTTAACAAGCGTTGTAGTTAAGTTGTTTGAAAAATTGGTCAGGGATTCGTTGGAGAATCACCTGATTAAGTTTAACCTTCTCAGTGCGGCCCAGCACGGATTCCGTAAGGGATTTTATTGTCTGGCAAATTTGCTTGTAGCTCGTGAAAGCTGGGCTGAGGCAGTAGACAACGGCCACGCCATCGACGTGCTTTTCGTTGACTTCTCGAAAGCCTTTGATACTGTCCCACATCAGCGACTCTCATTGAAGTTGAGATCGTATGGGATATCTGGAGCCGCCCTTAAATGGGTTTCTGCTTTCCTAGAGGGCAGAGAACAGTGTGTACGCGTGGGGCGTAGCCTTTCGCTTAGACAAGCTGTTCTTAGTGGCGTTCCGCAGGGCTCGGTTCTAGGGCCGTTGCTTTTCGCAATTTATGTCAATGACCTACCCCAGGAGCTTGGAGTACCGTCGCTATTGTTTGCTGATGACCTCAAGCTCTGGAATATTGTGGATATCCCTGGTGGCTCTGAGGCAATTCAGAGTGCTTTGGATAGGCTCTGGGATTGGTCAACCTTATGGTTGATGCCCATAAATCAGGCGAAATGTTCTGCCCTCCGCATTGGAGGTGCTAGTCCCCCCACGCGCTATGTAGTTGGTGGAAGTGAACTCCCTGTTGTCATTCAGCAGGTCGATCTAGGTATCACCCATACCTCATTGCTTCACTCTGGGGAAAATTGGAGGAAGGCTGCTTGTAGAGGGTTCCGTATGATGTGGTTTATTCGCCGCTCCTTCGGTGTCCTAACGGCCAATATCTTGTGAAGCTGTTCTCAGCTTTCGTGCGACCTCACTTAGAGTACTGTATCCAGGCTTGTCCACCTTGTCTTGTAAGGGACAAAATAGAACTGGAGAGGGTTTTGCGAGTGGGTACAAGGTTAGTGCAAGGATTACGGGGGCAAACGTATCCCGAACGTTTGCTTAGCTTGGGTATGTACTCAATGCACTACCGCAGAAT